GAGGCATAATCAAAGACAGCAAAACATGTCTGGCCGTGGCCCAGATACACTGTAACGGCCAGCACAGATATCATGTCTGCCACCCCAGTTTCAATGCCAAAACCAGCAGGCAGAACTCACTTAGCTGCATGCCTGTGTCATTTGAGAGAGTTCAAATGAGGAAGCAGCAAACTGGTTTTCATAATGAATAAAAAAGTAAGGCTCCTCCTATTCAGTATACCAAGCCAGGTGATCATATATCCTAATCTTTCTTATGCCCATCAAGAGACATCTTGGATCTGATGCTGAAGCCTTGAGACTTAAAAGAGAACAATCAAAGTTTACACAATGACTTTTTAACAAGGACAGGAGATGCTGTATGCTAATACAGCTCTTTACTCCTCTACATGTCGGAATGTTATCTCATATCACACAAGGAAAAAAAAATGGGATCACTAAAAATACTTATGGTAGGGTTCTGGTTTAAAAATTCCAGTGACACATAGAAAATGACTATCGTTTTTTAAATTTTAAACTGCGTAATTATTTATATACTAAGCTGACAACTTTTTTTCTGAAAAGGAGTCTTTAAGAATAATATGAGCTTCAAACTATTGGTTACTATGAATCTCTTCAATCTTAAGTACATTTTAGTGACTATTTCAAAGGAATTTTCACAGCAGTTAATTTCATGTGTTTAAAAATGTGAAAGATTTACTAAAAATCTTTCTTGGTGCCACAGGGATTTAAATTAATGCTAGGATAAGAGAATGTTCTAAAGGAGTGCAAAGGGTCCACTGGGAATTGTTTATAGGAGCTTTTCTTAGAATACTATTTAATTCAACCTTATAGAAAGAGGGAGCTTTTTTCCCTCCCGTTTATCTATTCATTCATTTTAATGTTTGTTAATTATTCACCATGTGCTGAACCCTCGGGAGGCACTGAGTTTCAAAGATTAACGATATCTTTTTTGATATGAAGGAGTTCCTTCTTCACTAATGGAGGTTTTCACATTAACAAATAATTATATTAATAATATGACATTTTTGCTGTAAATGTAGTTGGGGATAGAAGCACAAAGAAGGGTGGGACTAACTTTGTCATCGTGATGTGGAGAGCAACTTTGGAGAGGAAATGACATTTGCGTAGGGATAGGGAGTGATGAACAGTCCTTCCGGTGGAGGGTGGAGCATACCCGGGATAGTTATGTGAGATGTCTTTTGCATCACAATAAAGAGCTAGGGGAGCTCCTTGGAGGGACAACTAAAAAGGGCCCCCAAAAGCACTTTGATGTTAGAATACTTCCTAGAAAAAATTATAGAGAATTCAATACTGAGAAGGAATCAAATAAAAACATGCTCAGCTATAAAGGGGATAAAAGAATACATGCTTTCTTTCCCCCTACAAAATTGTGGAGTACCAGATCTGGAATTAGAATTCAAAGAGCCAGTCATCAAAGAAGGATGTGTTTCCCAGGTCTGCAACATTAGTATATTATGAGTTACCCCCACAAAGATATTAAGGGTGAAAACAAAAAGAGATGGAAGACAGTTTAGCTAAATCCATACATAGGTGGTTGCTACATATATACACAAGTTCATTAGATGAAGCCACAAGTAACTGGAATATAATACATTCCTGAATTTCACAGTTTGACCTGATACATTGACCTGATGCATTCACATAGGCCGATTCACCCCAGAATACCTGGATGGATGATGTGACATATTCGTGCTCTTCACTAGTGTTCCAATAAACATACTTTGCTACTAAATAATCAAGAATTATACTGTGGTACCAGGAAAGAGTTTTAGGACAGCACGATTTTTAAAGTATTTTAAAATAAAAATTCACACTCCAGAAAACACAAACTTGTTGTCTGTCCTATCAGCTCTGATTTCATTCTCTTCTATTAAACATTCCTAAAAACTTGGTCTAGTGAACCTAGAAAAGTTCAAGAGTTTTCCCCTCGTAGGCCTATGCTGAGTAAGTACGGAAGTTATCAGTTACTATTATTTAGAAAAAGTATCTGGGATTCAAGTAAGCCTCCAGTTGCCTGGTTGTGCAACTTGAAAGAAGTCAACTATCCAGTTCTGTAACTTGATTTCCTCACCTGCCAAATACAAATCACTCTAAGTGTTTTGTTGTCATCATTATTGTTGTTGTTTTACCCAGCTCACAGGGATGCTATGAAGGCGAAACCGCGTAAGTAACAATAAATCATGTAGAAGGTTTAAAATCCAATTGAAAGAATACCCTAAGATACAAAGATCTGTGTGTGCGTGTGTGTGTGTGCATGTATACACACGTGCTATATCAACCGACATGTATTAAATCCAAATCCAACAAAATCTTCCTGAGGTGAAAACCCTGACATTACCTATGATGGACAGTATCCTCTTTCCTCCTGTCAATTGCTAAGAGGCCCGAAGCACTTTAAACCCCAAAAAGTACTAACTCTGTCCCGAGCACCATTCATTTAGTGGTGGGTGGACACTAAGCCATTACTAGTTATGACAGAAGAATCCTGTGGCCAGCCAGGTTCTCATGGTAACACAATTAAATCTGAAACAAGAGGTTTGAGCCTTCTCTTCTCCTCAATCTCTTCTCCTATTCTTGTTCCCTAAAATTGTGTTTTATTTTTAAGATTATTCAAGGATTATGTATGCTTCAGTAATTTCCTTAGATAGTTACCATCCCAACACCAATCATGTTGATTTTAATTTAGTGGATTAGAAAGAGACTCGGGTGTAGAGAGTTCTCAATTTTATACCATTGTGCCTTGACTTGCTTTCCAGGGCTGGAATACTGGAAGTGTTTCATATATCACACGGGGAGGATTTATGGATATGCTTACTATCACTGTATAAAGTAGATAATAATAAATCACTATGGCTAATACTCCAGGTTCAAATAGTATTGCACTTTTTATTCAAATGTTAGAATATTTATAAATTAATGCAAATATCCTACAGAAAAAAAGAATCAGGTTGAAACAATTCTGAGATACATAGATGCCTTTGTATTTTTCAATCCTGTAGGATTCTGTGTTTATTCCATCAAAGGGAAGTTTTCTTACTTCAGGGGAAGTCAGGTAAATTCTGTTCAACAGACAGGTTGTTAGAATCTGCCTGAGCCCCACAAGGAATGCTATATGCCAGTGGGGAGGAAGAGGGATAAAAGGAATATTTCTGGAATTTTTCTCTCTCACATGAAGCTATAGCTCTAAAAAGGCTCCTGAAATGATTCTGTTCCCATTTCCATAAAGACAAAGACAGTCTTTAGAGGTGTTTCCACATTTTTGGCAAATCAAAAAATTAACCCAGCCTCTTCGGCTAGTCATTCCCCACTTAATATTTTGAAATATAATAGTGTATAATGTTTTCCAAAGTTTGAATACAGACTAAATTTTTAAAGTAAATGCTACCATTCCACCCAGCTAAGGAATGTGCAGAATAGTAAAATAATAGAACGTGTGTGTGTGTGTGTGTGTGTGTGTGTATGTGTGTGTATGGGGAAAAAAGTAAAATGTAAAAAAAGTATGGATTATTATGTCTTAGAATAAATGTAACCATTGGATTTGGAATGTTTTTAGTAATTTTAAAGAGAATCATACTTTTGCTATTGACATTTATTCAGTAATTCTAAAAGATAAACATGGTGTCTTAAACCAACAATTTCTTCCTTAAATTTTTATATATGTACTACCCAGATTTGGATTATTTCAGGGTCTCACTGTAAAGTTTACTTATGGTAGAATTTCCTCTTTGAGCAGCAAGGTTCAATAAGCAGATTTTTTTTTATGAGTTGCTTTCCTTCTTAGAACTTTGCTTCATGTTAGGATTCTTTTTATCAATACATAGAATACTAAGCTATAATTTGGTTAGTATAAAAATAAAAGCATTAATTTTATTTAACCTCTGACTTATAGTAGAAATCAAATAGTTGAACCTAAATTAACACAGTTTTTTGCATCTCTGGTACACACCCAACAGATGTCATTTTTCAGATCTGTGATCATCTTGCATACAGTGATATTTTAAGCAAATGCTATTTAATGCTTCAAAAAATATGGAGGGCAAAGATGCAATCTTTTTGAGATTGATGACATAAGAGTGTGCCATTTACAAAAAGCAAAACAAGGGAACAGATGACTGAGTCTGAATTATTTCTCTCCTCCCCCTCCTGTCTTTCACACGTGCTCGCACTTCTGGTGTCTGTTCACACAACACATGTACTTGGTGCGGTTCTTCTGCTTCCCACGAGGGCACGCAAGAACAAAAACATCTTTATGATCAATCTAGAAGTGGTCAGTTTTTCTCCTAGTCTACAGGGTTAGGAAGAGAAGTGGTTGGAAGCTGAAAAGCATGTCAGTGGTAGTCACTTTTGGGGGAGCAATAACAAAACTGCTGCCTAAGAGACTTAGATCACAAGTCATAACCCATTCTCTGAAGTATTCTTCAGACTTCAGCAGAAAACTTTTTTAGCTAGACTAGGTCACAAAATTCTCAAAACTAAGAAAATCATTAGACATCTTGAGATGGGTGAGATAAAACAGATATTTACTTAGCACTGATTTCTTGGTGAATGCAATACATTCTCCACCAGCGTTAGTCCACACAGTATCCATGGCAAATAAGGAAAAAGCACCCCCTTTGGGCAGACACATTCAGGTGAGCACATGGCTGTGGGTAGAACTGCAGCTGGATTCCAACATCCTCTTGTCCCCTCAAGTAGATAACCTCATGCGGGGTATAATCTGAACAACTAGACATGGGGATCCTATTTATAGAGATCTCTCTCTTTAGTACTTTACAAATCATAAGACAAAAATAATATAACTAGAACATTTATCTATAGCCGTTACAGAGTTGGATTGTGTCAGAGAGAGACTGTAAAATTTTCTATAGGAAATACCAAATTCACTCAGCATGGATTCCTTGTAATAATGTTGTCAAAGAGCTACCAAAGAAAAAGGCCTTCTCCTTGTTTTCACTCCTAGGAGAGTGAAATATACTTACCACCATCTTCAACTGCAAAATGGAACATATCACTTGTGGCATTGGCCCCTTCTCTTAACACATAGCATATTTTCATGTCATCGATGTCAGCTAGAAAATAAGCAAACAGCAAGACAATTAATTACTAGGGTAAAACTGATGACTCTATACTTACGGTAAATTTTATTGGCTATTACTTTTTCTGTAAACATGTTCAGATTCCCTTCTCCTAAGAGAAACAGTGCTATCTTATTTATCAGATCTCTAAGCCCCTTGATTTCAGCTGTGCCAAGGAAATCTGATCCCTTACACAGATAAATAGAGTGCAAGACTTAGTTTATAATAATAGCAAGGTGTTGCCCCTCCCAACGGTATTTGCATGTTCTTGCATCAAAGGAGTGACTTTCTAAATATGGAATGTCAGGCACCATGACAGGTGGAAAGGAAGATATTTGAGGCATGGCAGCTTTCCTGGCGCTCTAGAAATGACATCCTTTGCTTCCCTGTCAGACTGGCTCTCCTAGGAAAGAGGCTTGGCCTCCCCACTCTGGTTCACTTTTCTTACCTTTTGTGCTCTACTATTTTTAACCTCTCTAAAGTCTGAAAGAAAAAATCAAGGAGGTATTTTTTTTTAAAAAAAATCACACAGATTGATAAAACTATTATATCCCAAAATCAAAGATAACTTAGACAAGAAACAATCTAATAAAAGTGGAAACCTTTATTCATAGGTGAAAACTATACCACCTCAGAAAGGCCCCTGATATTGCTTCCTACTCTATGACATTTACTTGCATAGATTTGCTTTCATCACTAAGACACATTTTTAAAATTTATTCATCCATCTCACCTGTTCCTCTTCTTAATGATGTCACACAGACAACACAATAAAACAAGTACCATTGTGTTCTGTGCTATTCGCAACAGATTGTGATTTGATGCAGGCCCATCAGTGAGTTCCTAAGGCTACAGAAAATCAAGATCATAGCTAAAAATAGCTTCGATAATGGTAGGTAATATTTGCTTGTCTAGTGTGTGTCCTGTGGTTTTTTCATCTCCTAAAAGCTCTACTAAATTCATGCTCTGGAGTTCAAAGGCTTATGTATAAGACAATGACTTGATGAAAGAATAATCTCAAGGAAGCAAGGTTTTAGGATCAACCAAGTCTTTCATGAATTTCTATAGCTTCACTTTACAGACGTGAAATGTGTGCTCTACCCCGGCTCACACAGTTTTGAAAGGTGACTGGCTCACCATCAGGATCACGTGGGGAAGGGAAAATCTGATTTCATAGTTAATGATGCCTTCCTGCTTATAGTGGTAGTTGGAGGAGAAGTGAGTCTGAGATGTTTGGTTCTCTCTTAGCAATTCATTTCTAACTCTCCTACAATTTCCCACACTTTCTGCCTAGTGTCATTTCTATCTTTCTATATGGCTATCTTTCCTAGTAGATTGAAAACTTCTGGGATTTTTTTTTTTTCCATCTTAACATCCCACAGTTCTTTGCCCAGGGTCTGAGAGCAGTAAAGGGTCAATGTGTCTTAGATTAAAATGAAAGAGCCAAGTGGTCTGATAGACCACACTTGCACCTCTGCCTTTGCATGTGAGATGTCTCCTCCGGGGTAAGGAGTGAATCCCTCTGCACAGCTCTTTGCCTGTTTACTCTTAACTTTTACAACCGTCACTTTATCAGTAAGAAATACGGGAACTCTGCTGAATACACAGCCTTACCACAGGGACAACAATCTCCGGCCATGTGGGGAAGACCCTTTTCCGATCTTCCCACTCCTTAAATTGCGTAAGAAAACCTAAAGGCTCTACTAGGAGGAAAGAAAAAACTTTTTAGCATACCCAACATCTGTACAAATGTTTATTTGTGAAAAAAATGTAGTATTAAAGAGAGAGTTTCATTGAAGTAAATCACCACTTCAAAACTGATTTTTAAGAAACTTCTTTCATAGTAAAGAGAACAAGAATGCAATGACATGGCACTCAAGTGCCAAATTTCCCCTCCATGTTAGGGCATACGCTACTGATTTGTTTGAACATACTAACCCCCCCCTTTTTTTTTACAATTTGTTAATAATTTATGGTTCAGAAAAGAAACTTTTTAAAATGTCAAGTAAGTGAAGATTTTGATCATAACACTCATTCAACAGGTACCTCTAAAAATAATATAAACATACTACTCAAAACAAATATATAAACACTTAGCTTTCTTAAGGGACACATGTGTTAGATAAAAACCTAACAGCCAAAATGTTACCTTCTTTAAGCAAATATCTAAGAATTAACTAGATTCTTTTCTAGTTATTAAATATGCATTAAATCTATTTCAGTTTATCTACACAATCATTCCATGGGCTTTTTGTTTGTTTGTTTGAATTCTAAGTTCATTAATATGCCTGGTAATCACACCTGGTTCATACTCTTTGAGGAAAGAAAGATAATTATAAATCGTTCTCCTGAAGGTGATTTATAAATCATCTCACACAAGATATTATGTTCTTATTGTAGAGAAAAAAAATCTAGGTACTTGAGATAAGCGATTTAGACCTGGGCTTGGGGGAGCAGAGCATCTTGGCAAAGAGGTGAAGTTTGAAATAAATGTATAATTTTCCTAATTCTACATTGTTAACTTTTCCTCATAATGAAATTGTAAGTTTTAGAAATGAATTAATTTTTTTTTCTTCCAGGGACCATTAAGTCAATCAATTTAGGAAGAACCTTCTCTGGCCTCTTGTTCTAAACTGACTTACTTCAGTGCATTGAAAATCCATGAAAATACAGTTTAGCTTATCCATTCATGGTAAAGCAAAACCAAAAACAAATAAAAAGAATTTGCAGTTTCATTCCAAACACTGCTCTCATTTCTCCTACTGGAAGAGCAGCCATAGTAGCTTTCTGATAGAGCTTTCTTCATTTTTTAATCACTTACTTAATCTCTGTATATAATTGCTATGAATCAAACTCCAGCCTCAACTTGTTTAAATGAGTGCTGTGTGATTAAATACCAACAGTTTTACTAGTCAATATTTGGGTTTGTACTGGAATATGATAATTTCCCCTAAAATGGTAACTCTTAAAAAGTATCATCACTGTTCATAATAAACATAACTACTCTACATTTACGAAGACCATAAAAATTAATCATGGTGACTCAAAGTCAGTGAGATAGAACAATGATGGTATAATGAAATACGCTATGATGAAATAGCATAATTTTAGGGTTCAATATTTAAGAAATAATATTCCAATATTTTGAGCTGTTGGATTTGGTCCATAGAATTAAAATTAAATTATTTGCCTGTCTTCATCCAAAGATTCCCTTTTTTAAATTTCTAAAATCAGATTCCTTTTTCAGATTAGAGGAGTGATTTGAAGTACCATTTTCTATCATATAATATGTTCCTTTCATTCTCTTCACTTTCCATGAAAATAAACCAGTCTAAGATTGCATGGCATCTCTATTCTCAGAAAGCCTTCTCACAGAAGTTTCCTGCTGGTCTGGCGTGACACTTGGCACTCTGAGGTTTTCCTGTCCCTGCAGGCCCTAGGATATATTCAGGCTTTCAGCCAAGAATCAAGATGTTGGAGTGTGGGGCTTTTTGCCAGCATCTAAAACAGAGAAGCAGTTCACTTGAACACTACATTTTGCTACATCCATGTTTGTTAAAGCATTTGTTATCTAAGAGCACAACAAGGTGGCAAGAAAAGAACACCCTCACTGGGATGCCCTGGGGTTAAACACCATCTCAACTCACAGAGCCCACATAGGAAAGATCTAGTTTCCATTCTGATGTGGTGAGATTTTCATGAAAGCAACCCAAATCCCTTTGTAATGAAAGTCACACGTTCTAGAGAACAGAGGCCTAACTCCCAAGCCAGCAGAGCAAATAGGCTTCTCCTTTCCCTCACTGAATAACTCTGCACAGGTCACTTGCCCTTCCTGTCTCAGACTGTGTCCACCCACAAAGGAAATTCAGGTTAGAAATGTCCTTTTGCCTCAAGGATGCAGGTGCTTGAGGTAACTGGTGTTTGTTACTATGTGAGCGATAATGAAATCATTTCCTCCTTCTACTATTAATCGTGTTAACATATCGTCAGGTTCTTAATCAAATGGATGTATATTTTGGTGATGAACATATTGTCTTCTGTACACCATTAAGCAGGCTTTTCTTTTTTTTGTGTATCATAGTAGCATGCACTGTACATATAACTGTTACAACTCTAGGTATGTGTTTATCTTTTATGTCTTTGGACAGCTGTTTGTCTGAGTCATAACATATTACAAATTTTTTTAAATCTACAAAGTAAAAATAATTTTTTTCCTTTCAGTTACAAAGTTCCTAACAACCATAATAGTATTAGAATGATGCTCTTAAAAATTAATCAAAGTAACATAAGTTTGAAGCCTTTTTATAAATGGTAACTGATAATAACAGTAACGTGAATAAATAGGATTTAGAGAGCACATCTTTCTTTAAGGGGCTAAAATGCTTCATGAACTATTTGCAGCATATAAAACCGCAGATGATCACAGGACAGGTGTTGCAAATGGAGCAGAGTTGGAAAGCCTGCTTCAGTTATAATTCACCAAAGTCTGGCACCTGCTTTGGCAGCATACCTTGCCACTGTCAAAATACATTGATACTCTCTCTAATGAAGGTCACTGCAGTGGTACGTGGGCAAGAAGGGAAGTGTTTTCCCAGGGAAGTGAGTCCCTGTTTTCTCTCCTTCCCCTGTTTTCCCTCCCCTTCCCTTCTCTTAGACTCCCACCTGATGCTCTACTTATAAGGCTTTCAGTGACAGGCATATTTGGAAGGAAAAGTGAAACATACCTTGGGTAAACTGGGTGATGCTGTGGTTGCCTCTGCCCAGGTTGAGAAGATACCCATGTCGAGGGGCTTCTGTCACAATAAACCTAAGAGAAAAGTGTAGGCTGTCTCTGTCCTCCACTTTTAGTATCTTGCTTGTGATCATAAACCCCAAGTGGCCAGTGACCAGAGTGCGAAGTGTAGAGGCCCCTTTATTCACTGCAATTTGGGGAGCACTATTGTCAATAGCTAAGACCTGAATCTTCATCACTTGAGGTCTCCTTGTTTCAAATACTGTATCAGGGAAAACATAGAAGTCTGTATGGGTGCCATCAGTCACTATGAAGGAGAAGCTGTCTTCACTTGACTCGGTGCCATCATGTTTGTAGCTGATTAAGTTTTCATTCAAGTCTTGCTTGGTAAAAACCGTGACAGGTCTGGTATTGTTGAACAGGAGACGGCCATGAACAGGCACCTGGGTGATGGTGAATTTCAGGAGTTTGTCAGGAGTATCTCTGTCTTCGACAGTGAGTTCAAAGGGAGTGATCAGCTTATTTTCATTTTCACTGACAACCAGGCTGTGGATCGTGACCACCGGCTTTTTGTTGTCCACATCGCTAATGGAGATGCGGAATGTCCGAAAGACAGGGTTACGTCCGTCGGTGACTTGAAACTCAAAACTGTCCATCTTCACCTCATCATCGGCTGTGTGGATGTAATAGATTTTGTTGCCAGCCAGTTGGAGCTGAGTGAAAGATGCGATGGACACTCCAGGTTGATCTGTGCACTCTAAGTGACCTCGTATGGGAGCCCTGGTTATGGTAAAAACTAAGTTTTCATCAGGACTATTCAAGTCACTAGTGCTCAGTAGGTCTGTTGTGAGAGTGACCTTGCCACCTTCTTTCAAGGACACTCCCTTACTTATCACATTAGGGAAGACAATGTCAATGCTCCCAATGGACACATAGAAGTAGCGATCTATGAGGGCATTTATTCCATCAGTCACATCAAATTTAATCAGGTCGCGAATGCCTTCTTGCCCAACGTGGACATACTGAATTACATTTCTGTCCACTTCATCCTGTGTAAAATTCATGCCCACTGTGATATTTTCAAAGGCACCTGTAGGTTTTTGTCTCTGTAATAAGCCATGTCCTGGCCCATAACGAATAATATAAACCAAAGATTTGTCTTCTGAGTCTAAGTCGGTTGCCATTAATAGTTTGTTGTTGATAGTTTTGGTTTCCCCAATTTCTATTTCTAGTCCATTATTGATGGCCATTCTGGGGGTCTCATCATCAACAGGGATGACCATGACGAGGACCGTCTTTTCCACAGAGTGCTTGCCATCTGTTAGTTTAATCACGAGACTGTCTTCCTGGGTCTCAGAGTCATCGTGCTCATAGATAATGCTGGAACTCTCTATGATCTGGTCCAAGGTGAAGCTTTCAACCAAAACCGTGCCATTTATCAGCTGGTTCATGATGTGACCATGAGTAGGGAATTGGGTAATAGTGAAAGTTAAATCATCTGGGGGAATGTCAGCGTCAGCAGCGTTGAGAATGGGTGTATCAATTACCAGACTCATGCCTTCCATCACCATAAATTCTCTCATGAACATCTCCGGCTGTTCATCATTGGTGGGAATGATTACAATGGGGAAAAAATGTCTCTCTGAAAAGTTAATGCCATCAGAACAACGAAATAGAAATCGATCTTCCACAGGCTCCACCCCTTTGTGGACACTCTGGACATAATTAATGTGACCCTGCCTGAGATCCTTCAGAGTGAAGGCACTTATGGCAATCCCTGCTCTTGATTTCTCAGAGCCTGGAGCTGGAGAAATGTTTTCAACATAACCAGAGGTAGGTTGAATAACTATAGTGCACAAGATGTCATCGTTCAGGGAATCGACATCTTCAGCACTTATATGCATTGAAGTCATAACACTTTTATCACCTTCCATTACTATAAACTGTTCTCCCACAGAAATTTCTGGGGCCTGGCTGTCAACAGGGAGGATAGTCACCCACACAGTAACTCCATGGATAGTACTGCCTCTGATTCTCCATTCTTGAGACATATCTGACAGACTCAGGTTAAAAGAATCCGCTTTGGGCAACAGGCCTATCTCACCACTGGTATGGGCATAGACAACAGAGCCCTCCAAGATGTCCCTTTGGGTAAACTGCTCTGCTGGAACTCCATTGACTAAGATTTCCCCATACAAGGGCGGATCTTCTAAGAGGAAAGTCAACATCAAATCATCAGTGTCCTCATCAGTCCCCTTAATAATATTGGCAGTGATTTCAGTAGCCCTGTTTTCTAAGACATCGAGATAGGACTCCAGAGTGCCAGAAGGGCGGCTCAGCATGGACACCTCTTCATCCACTGGCCGGACATTCACTCTGAGAGTGATGGGCACCACGTGGTGTCTGTCACTGACTTCCAAAGAGCAGCTGTCAGTCAGGGACTCATCCCCATTGTGGGAGTAGGAAATTCTGCCCTCTTTTATGTCCTCCAAGTGGAAGAGCCCCCCTACACTTAGTATCTGTCCAGACACTCGCATGTGGCCATGTTTGGGTGCCTGTGTGAGAGTGAAAGAGATGTGGGCCACGTCAGTGTCCACATCACTCACGTGCAGCTCAGTCTCACTCAGGATGTGGTGGCCCTTCTGCTGAATAGTGAAGCCGGTGTTGAGGATCTCAGGGGGCTGGTTGTCCACGGGCTGCAAGTAAAGGGTGAAGGTGCCTGGAGCCACATTCCCAGCTCGGTCCTCCACCTGGAACTGGAACTGGGCCACTCGAGTAGCCACTCCCAGTTCTCGACCTGGGGGTCTGTAAGCAATTTTGTGGTGGTTGATCTGGGCTTGGGTAAAATGGGTCACCACGACTGAGGGGCTCTCAGTCAGGACTAAGGTGCCCAGAGGCGCTGGTGAGTGATTTTCATCTGTGTCCATGGGGGGCTGAGTCACTGTGTAACGTAGCTCTCGGTCATCTGTGTCCAGGTCAGTGTAACGCAGCCACTTCTTCCTCAGGGGTGTGAGCTGGGATTCCTGCACCACCATCCGAAGGGGACAGCCACTGCTCAGCTCCGGAGGGAGGCGATCCACGGGATGGATGCGTATCACAAACTTCTGTAGCCCAGACTGATTAGGGGGGTCATGGTTATCCTGGACTCTAAACGTGAACTGGTCCATGACTGGCCCAGGACTATGAGGCCCGGAGTGCCTGTAGAACAGCCTCCCCTCCGTTATGTCCCGCTGCTGCCACTCTGTCACTGTTCGCTCATAGAATGTGCCCTGCTTCCTCCAAAGGCCCTCAAGAAGCTCCTGCTCCTCACGGGGAGGGTGGGTTTGACGGAAAAGCAGATGCCCTGTAGTTGAGAAGGGTGACTCCAGCACAAACAGCAGCAGAGAGTCATCTGAATCCATGTCAGTGGCACTCAAAGTAAGGGGCAGGATGGGTACTGTTTCACCCTCTGCCAGTGTCAGCCCTGTGTTGGCATTGAGGACAGGTGGCTGGTCATCCACAGGCACTAAGGTGATGGGAAACAGAAACTGTACCTGGTGCCTGCCTCCCCCATCCACCATGCGAAACACCAGGTTGTCACTCAGTGAGCCATCGTTGTCATCATGCTGGTAGACCACCTGGCCAGCTGCCAGCTCAGCCACTGTAAAGCTTTTGGGAGCAGAGTTGCCACTGGAATCACCTAGAATGAGAAGGCGACCATGCCGGAGCCCAGCAACCACCTCCAGCCGCACTGCTTCTAGGTCATCCTCATCACTGATGACCAAGTTTTGCGGGCCACTGCCCGCAGGGCCCGTGAGGGGTCGAGACTGCCCCTCATAGAGAATAAGACCAGTATTCCGGGTGACCACGGGAGCCAGTGTGTTCATGGGCTTTACCACTACCATGAAGGCAAAAGGGTCTGAAGCTGCTCCTTCCGGGTCCACTACCTCCAGCTCCAGTTCGAAGAGCCGCTCCTGGTCAGAGTCTTCAGAGGGCGGCTGGTAGGCGATCTTCAGGAGGTGCAGATCCCTCTGAGTGAAGGAAGAAAGGGGCAGGCTGCGATCATCAGTGCTCACCAAGTAGCCCTGGCCAGGCTGGAACGGAGAGGTGAGGTTAAAGATCAACAGGTCGGGGGCAGACTCAGCATCCTCGGCTGCCAGCATGTCTGGGGTCAGGGCGGTCAGTACAAACTGGTCCACCTCCATCATCATCATGGCCACGAAACTGGGCTTGGGTGCCGTGTTCTCGGCCCCTCCACGGATCCTCACCAGCACCTGGAAGTGCTCGCGTTTCAAAGCAGGGCTGCCCACGGGAGCACCTCGTGAACGCAGCTCCACCACCATGGGCACCCAGTCCCTGTTTGGTGAGCGACTGGGGGCTGTGTGGCGGTAGCGCACGCCCAACTCCTGGAAAGCTTTGCAGTCCATCAGGAGAGGTTCCGGGGCACCTCTCTCTCTGGCTCCTCCTGGGACCTGCGGGTAGTGGAGGAGCTCTCCATAGCGAGGCAGCGCGCCCAAACCGGACAGGATGCCCACGCGGCACTCCTCTGTCTCGGGCAGGTAGGCGAACTCCAGGCTCCGCGCGTCCAAGGCATTGCTAGTACCCAACAGTTCTTCCACAACCAGGGGCAAGTTACGAGTCACAACCTCTAGCTGGGTGAAGACCACCTCCACCTCCAGCACCAAGGGTAGCACTACCGCCCCTCCGGGCGCGTCGTAGCGCAGCTGCAGCCGGACGCGGTCCCGCGACGGGCTGCGCGCACCCAGGTGCGAGTAGCGCACCTCGCCAGGGCCGAAGTCGCACGGGAAGCGCTTGGGACTCAGGTAGCCTGGTCGCTGGGCCAGCGCGTCGTTATCTAGCACGGACACCGCACAGCGGTCTCCCGGCTGCACCTGCAACACCAGGTCGTGCAGCGGATCCAGCCAGACTTCACGGCCGAAGGGCACCCTGAGTCCGCGGTTCGCCAACACTATGGCCTCCTCGGCAAGGACCCCTGCAGCCCCCACGAGACCCGGAGACAGCAACGCCCGACCAGGGGCAGCGGGCTGTGCCGGGTCGCAGCTTACCAGTGACAGGAGAAGCGGTGGCAGCAGCAGCAGCCGGGGCTGCAGCGGAGGTATTGACCGAAAGCTGGTGGAGCTGGCTGTCTGGGGCGAGGCGATCCCGCAGGTCCCGGCTGCGTGCATGGTCCGAGCGTCGGGGCTGCGGCAGGTCGGCTTGGGAGTGTGCAAAGTCAGTCCCCGGGCGGGCAACAAGAGACACCTCCGGAAAGTGCCAGGAACTGCGCACGCACGCTGCCTGCGGGGTCCTCCTGCAGCCCGGACTGGTCCAGAAGTTTGTGCAAGTTGCGCGGCGCCGTCCGGGCTGGAGCCGCAGTGGGCGAGGCTGAGCCCCCCCAGGCAGCCCGACGCGGCAGCTCGCGACTCAGTCGCGCGGAGAACTGAGAGCCTCGGCTCCTACGTCCCAGGTCCCGGGACCCTGGGCTTTGAGGGAAACCCCTCCCCTTGCACCCCCTTACTCTAGTTCTCCCAGGAGGCCAATCGTTGGTCCCAGGAGGAGGCCCCGAGTCGGGGGTTGGGTAGTAATTTCTGCCAATCAGCTCTTAGTGGCCAAGGCGGGGAAACTACTGAGAGGGGAGGAGACAGAAGGCGCAACAGGTTGTCTTGGAAGTGCGGGAAGAGCGGCCTGGGGCTGCCCACCCTTGCTTGCGCTTTGCTCTGGGCTGCTAGATCCGGGTCACTCGCAGGGGAGTCGGGACCTGCTGCTGTGCTGGATTCCCTTCTTCATCTGCCTGGGATCGAGGATTACACATTTTAGCCGCGCCCGGGCCCCATTCAATGAAATCCCGCGCAGGGCACGGTCATTTCTCCGAAACTCACAAACGCGAGAGGAGAGTGAGACGCAATGCCTCTTGAGCTTGAAGCGAAACCCAGAACAGTTAGGGAGGAAACACCGGGGCATAGTTGCAAAAGAAGAACAGCTGGAATTTAAAGCCATAGCTACAGCAGGTTGCACCCCTGCCCCCCGCCCCCCTTCTTGTAAATTACGATAGGCACAGTCCTCGGATTGGTGAGTTTTTAACAAGCTCCTCCTCTGCAACCAAAGTTCGCAGAGTAAATGGAAAAAAAGGGCATTTGGAATGCGTGAGAAATGCAGTCTGATCAGAATCTCTAGTCTCGCACCAAAGGATAAATTCTAGGGAATTTAGCCCCAGGCTCTCCCAAAGCTGCCGCTGTTAGGGTAGCTGTCATTAGAGACGTTCCTGTTCTCTTCGCAGTAATTAGACCAAGCACAAACTAAACCCACCTGTCAGCATCACATTTCTGTGCATGCCACGAGAATTGATAAATATCCGGAGGGCGAACTAAAATAGTTCAGATCCCATTTCAGTCAGCCAGGTTGGAAGTCAGAGCTTGGGCTCTTCCTGCCCCCTTGTGTTTGTCTTGTTTCAATGGTGTATAGATTCCCTTTCTAAAAGGTTTTCTATCATCACCACCCTCCCTCCTCCATAATTAAAATCCGATCATTTTCAGATTGGTTCCTTGAGCAGTCTGGCTTATCGTGGCCAAAATGTTTTATTTTGGGTAATGTTTTTTTCTCCAATAATATAAATCTGATTATTAACAGGAACATAAAATTGGAATAATAGTCATATTGCCCCTTTCCTGATTAAAGATAGTTTGAATTTGGAAAGGAGAGGAATGTAAGAAGCTGTAAATGCCCTTCGAAATTTAAGTCTAAGTCGAAGATAGAAGATGCACATGTGGGTAATTTCAGTAAGGAGTACCCATCCTTTTAACCCTTTTTACTTTTAGCTTGAGCTCCCCCAGTCCAAAATTTTGATCCCTGCCTGACACACTAACGGCTATTTTTCAGGCCATGCACAAAGTAGGCAGGTAAGTACTGCTGGGAGATGTCAGATATTGCTCCAGGAAACCACTGGGCAGAGTCTGTCTCTGAGAGTCAAAGATAGAAAGTTCTGAAATCTTTCAGAAAGAAGTGAAAGATTAATTTAAAGGAGCCACTAATCCAAGCAAACAAACAAGTAACGTTTAGTGAACTGAATATTATTCTGTGTGCTCTGCACTGTTTGGGGAGCTTTTAACACCCACTTAACGATTGATGGATACATTTCACAATTTATTACAAAATGAACATCGAGGAACATAAAAAGGATGTGGCCCTTCTATGAGAAAATCCTCATCCAACTCTTTACCAATTTCCGATTCACTTCAGTATTATTATTTTATAATTTATTATAATTATTAATTATTGCATGAAGAATTCAAATTGCAGACATAGTAAATTATACTATTTTCTGTTCACAAATAAAACAAATAGGAAGATGCCAAGTGAAATAGAAAATCAATTTCAGAATATGGCTCTTTATATATTATAGTTCAAACTCTGGTTTATGTGTTTTTACTGAAAAATGTCGACTGGAAGCAAAGTGGCCATTACTCAGGCGTTGTGACCCTTGGTGAATTCTGACCAGAGCCAGACTAACAGCCTGACCCCTGATGCTTCATAGTGGCTCCAGGGTTTCCTTTCTTCCTTTTAAAGTCCAACTCTATTTGACTTGCAAGCAATGATAAGATCAGCATTTGAAGTATGGTAGTATGCCTGAGGGGCAGAGTTCAGTATTTTGTTTCATGGTAAGAAAAATACAAGACCACACTTATTTCTAAGTAGCCTGAGGAAATCAATAAAAATAAAGTCTTTTTTGACTTTTTAACTTAGCCTGCCTTCATCGAAGTGATGGAATGATTCTGTAGAAATGTTTTTGGTGAACATCTTAGTTATTTGGGTTTTTTAAAAATCAGATAGAAGGTAACTCAAATTATTGTTTGCCTAAATATATTTTGCATTGATAGCCATTGATAAAATCGTGAAATGTGAAATTTTCTTTGGGGAGCAAATATTATTGACCATGATCATCTCTGTTTAGGCTACTGGCCCAGTATTAAAAGATCTGTATGCATAAAATAGCAAGAAAATATTGTTTTACATCCAACATTGTCAATGTCATAAGGGATAAAATAAGTTAGCAAATATGAAATTTTTTAAAAATCTGAGCTTAACTCTTCAGTTCTTACTTTCTCAAGCCTTGTAACACTTCCTGTACATACTCAAGGCAAAATATTTTATAAAATACAGTCTCAAATTTGTTTATTATTTGAAAATCACACGAAAATGTCTCCTCGTATCAACTTAAAGTTAAAATTATGAACGTGCTAAAACTCAAAGGATTTCTGACCTAAGGTTAAGCACCAGAGAACGCCTTTCCTAAAATAAAGGAAGTAATGTGATGAACTGAAGATGCAGGCAAGATATTCAGATGGAAATTCTATAGCAGATATGGGACTAGAAGTCAGACGGGGGCTAAAGATACATCCGGTTAAATTTTGAAAATTATAGTTTTCGTTGTAGAGTTGATTTCATTTTCTTCATGTTTCTCTACTGGATCATAAGACTCCAGTAGAGGAGATTGCTGGCTAGGCACTTTAAAAATACTTAAAGAGGAATGATTGATGTTTCAAGCGAAACTTTTACATCTTTACTAGTTCTCAAGAGATTTTCATTCTTCAGGAACTTCAAAACCATGATTTGCCTATCAGCACAAAACTTGGCTGATTTCAGAGCAGCACTGAAGGGGTGAGTACAAATAACCATGGACCGATTAACCAAGCCTCCAGCCTTGGCTCTGACACCCACTAACTCTGTGACTTGCAGCGATTCTCTTTATGTTTTAAAACTACAGTCTCCTCAACTGTAAAACAAGGGAATCAGTCCGTGGACAGATTCCTTATTGGTTCTAATATGCTGGTGCCATAGGACCAAATTTATGGATGACCATTTTCCATTTTGCTTCCTCGTATTTCTTAGTCATAGGCTATAGGTCTCATTCTTGCTACAGAGACTGACTGTATTAATAAAAAAATGTGTCGCTGCTAGTAGGTCAGAAAACAGAACTCAAAAGCTCATGCCCCTGGCCAATAGATCAATTGTTCCTTTCTAAGATATACGGTACAACATTTGCATTTATCGCCGTGAGCAGCTTAAATATAATATCTCTAAATTAGCTATTTTTTAACTAAAATAATATTGAAATAAAAATCAAGCAATATGAGACTAAATTAAACTCATTATGAGGATAGGTGAATTTTCAAGATGGATCTATTATTAAGTGATACATGTGGCTCCACAAGCACCCAGACTTTTCCAGACAAAGCTGTGTTCAGATGGGGGTCTTCTATGGGAAAGAAGAAAGGACATTGGACTAGGAGCTAAAAACCCTTGTTTTCAAACTGGCTTTCCCACTTGCTTGAAGCTCAGGACCAGTCACTATATTCATCTCTAAAAATATGTAATTGGGGAGGAGGTAATTTATATACAGATATAAAATGTATATGTATTTATATATAGGTATAGATGCAAAGTGGAAATGAAGAGAAATGGTCATTGTTTTTAAATCCCTTTCTCTCCCCATATATATGTATATATAATATCTACTACATAAAGATGGCAAACTCCTATTCATAGATTCTCTTTGGTTATCCTTATCTCAGTATCTTATTAATGAAATATTGGAATATTTCATTATGATTATAATAAATGATAATATATCCATTAGTTATATCTATTAATTGTTCTATTAGTTTTCATCTCTCATTGGCATTTCCAATTTTTCTAGTTGCTTCATCTTTGATTATAATTATGCTTAATTTTTCTGTTTCGTAGAAAAGCAATTTCCCTCAACCGAGATAACCCCTCCAACTATGCATACTGCTCTCTTTTTCTAAATCTTCCTGAATCATCTGTATCTGCTTCTTTAACTTTCTCATCAAACCGATTTACAAACCTGCTATGAGGTGACACTCACCCCACAATTATCTTGCCCAAGACTCCCCTTGGTCTCTACAATCCATTACCAAGTTGGGAAGAATCTGTCTCCATGATGTGTCTTACAACTGTCTTCTCTTCCCACTCCTATGTGCCATCAACCCAGCTCAGTTCACCGTTATTTCTCATTCAGGTTTCCTCAAATCTTGGTCTCATTACTGTTGTATTTGCCATCCTACATACTGCTCCAGATTAAACGAAAGTTCATCTTTTATCATAGCATTCTACTAAAATTCTTTCAGACTTCCTATTTCATTCCCATTCAAATGAAACACATTCTCTT